TGGTTCAGCTGTCAGACACGGTCCCCTGGCCCGTTCCAATGAGGAGGGACCTCCTCACACAGGCCAAAGGGACGATATGGCACCCCCGACCCGATTTATGGGCCCTCCATGTGTGGCCCCTAAACGGGTACCCGGGGGCCTTCCTGACAAGGTCTTAGGCACTATCTCTGAAGCAAGGGCCCCGTCTACTAGGCGTCTGTATGCTTTGAAGTGGTCGGGTTTTTCCAGCTGGTGCTCGAAAAATCGAGTTGACCCAGAGTCATGTGAGGTATCGGTGGTACTCTCCTTCCTGCAGGAGCTACTGGACGCGGGCCGCACCCCGTCCACGCTCAAAGTTTATGTGGCAGCCATCGCAGCGCATCATGCGTTGGTGGCTGGTCAATCACTGGGAAGAAATGACCTGGTAGTAAGATTTCTGAAGGGCGCTAGGAGAATTAACCCCTCCAGGCCCCCATCAGTACCTCCCTGGGACCTCTCCACGGTCCTCAGGGCCCTGAAGGGGCCGCCTTTTGAACCGCTCCGGTCGGTGGGTCTAAAACCACTCTCGCTCAAGACTGCTCTCCTGTTGGCATTGGCATCTATCAAGCGAGTGGGAGATCTGCAGGCCCTTTCTGTGAGTCCGGCATGTTTGGAGTTTGGAGCGGATGACTCCAGAGTCATTCTCAAACCCAGGCATGGTTACGTACCCAAGGTGCTCTCAACGCCGTTTAGAGCGCAAGTTATCACGCTATTAGCCCTTCCCCCTTCTGCCGAGGATGGGGAGGTTAATCTTCTCTGCCCTGTCAGGGCGCTGAGAGTCTATCTGGAGCGTTCTGCGTCTTTCAGACAGTCAGAACAGCTGTTTGTCTGCTTTGGTGGCCGATCTAAGGGTGGTCCAGTTACCAAACAAAGACTGTCTAGATGGATAGTGGATGCCATTTCTATGGCTTATACTTCAGTGGGTCAGGTTTGCCCTATAGGTGTCAGGGCCCATTCGACTAGAGGCATGGCCTCGTCATGGGCTTGGTCATCTGGGTTTCCCATTCAAGATATTTGTGAGGCGGCCGGCTGGTCCTCGCCTTCCACATTTATGAAGTTCTATAATATGGAGGTGCCTTCCCTGCAGGCGAAGGTTCTTTCAGTATGATTAAGACTCGATGCTGTCTGGTCTTGTCTACAAAAAATTACTGTGCATAATCACATACATACATATATAAAACCCGCTTAGGCTGGTTATGAATTGTACTAATAATCCTGACAGTGTCGGGGTTTGTTAGTATATTCTGTTGGTTGTTACTGACTCTTATATATTATTCAGGCCTGACAGTGTCTGGTCTGTTATATATATATATTCTTATATTGGGTTCTGGCTTGTTCTGTTAGCTCAGGGGGCCTGAGTTGCAGTGCAACCAGTTACTAAGGGTGCGGCGTTTTACAGGGCGTCCCCACTGCGTATAGCTACGCAATACGAAGTGACCGTTCGAAAGGGAACTACTCGGTTACTATCGTAACCTCAGTTCCCTGAGAGAGGGAACGAGTATTGCGTAGCCGGCCGCACTTAGTAACGGGTGAAGTTGTCGCTTCAGTCGTATAAACCTGCTATAATGGCGAATTCGGGGGTCTTTTATAGGCTAAACCACACCCCCTTGACGGGCTCTGACGTTGAGCTAGCTCATTGGCTGTATGTCAGAGTCGCCCGCGCCATTGGTTGTGCAGTTGCGGCAGCACAGCCTATGAGCGTGCCAGACGCTCAGTGTGCTAGCTGTGCAGCTGCAAATGCGTTTTACATATAGGTTTCAGTAAATCGAGGAAAAGGAGTTTCCCCACTGCGTATAGCTACGCAATACTCGTTCCCTCTCTCAGGGAACTGAGGTTACGATAGTAACCGAGTAGATTTCCGTGCAAAAACGAGAAAACCAAAAATCAAGTCATAATTTCGTTTTTTCGTTTTTCAAATAAAACGAAAAAAACGAAAAAAGGAGTTGTTTTCTACTTTTTTCGTTTTCATATATGAAAGCAAAAACAAATGAACGAACGATACCCGGACCGTTTAGAATGTGGGGTGCGTGTGTATTATACGTTTGGTTAGGATTAGTATGGCAAGCCAAGAGGTTCAGAATTACGCCATAAATGAATCGCGTTTACAGCCAAACGCCGTCATATACGGCGTTTTAACATAATATGTGTGTTATATATATATATATATATATATATATATACCGTATATAGTAAGGGTATATAGTAAGCTTGATGTGTATATTGCCTAATTGCAAGCTTGTTCAGAAATGGTGACAAAAACTTAAAATATAACTGCTTTTCCATAATATTGAACATCATTATATGAGTATTAGGTTGAATGAGTTAGAATTAACTGTTTTATTAATCATTAGAATATAGACATTAAGAGAATAAATTGTTATGCAAGTACTTTTACTTTTAATACTTAAAGTACATTTAAAATCAGGTACTTTTTACTTTTTACTTAAGTAGGGTTGTCATTGTGGTACTTCTACTTTTACTAAAGTAAATATGTCTCTGGTTATTTGTACTTTTACTTAAGTACTGAGAGTCAGTACTTCCTCCACCACTGGTTATTTATATCTTCTTTTCTCTTTTATACATTATTTTTGTGTTAATGCATTTAACTATTATGGATGGGTTGGCTGGAAAACGGAATTGCCCCTTGGGGACTAATAAAGGAATCTGAATCTGAATCTGAATCTGAATCCACAATACTCACATTTCCATTCCATCTCATTCCACAAAACAAATCCTGCAAATTAAGAAAATAATATTAATCTACATGTCTCATTCCACAAAAAAAGCTCTGCAACTTAAAATAATATAAACCTACTAAATTCTTACTATAAAGATTTCTATATATTTTAAATTACGTATCACTGTGTAGTGTTCAAACATTTTAATCTAAAGAAAAAAGAAAAGAAAAAAAAACACCAGGGATGTTATATTTTATATTATTTCAACACATATAAACATCCAAATATAAATCAGTGTAATCTGTAAAAAATTTCCTCAGTCTAAATTGTACACACAATAAAAACATCTAAAGCATTAAAAAATGTTTCTTTCCTGAATACATGCAGCCAAATATCAGTGACTTGCAAATGACTGCTAATTTTGATTAGCAATATTACCATGTAACGGTAAGTTATTTAATCTGATTACTACACGATCGATTAATGTATATTAGGCAATTCAGAAATAAAAAAAACCTGAGAAACAGGCATCAACTCACCTTTCCATGTGCTTCTCCCCTCAGAATCCATTGCGAATTGACTCCACCTACATGTAGAACTGCGCATGACCATTAAAAATTTCACAATACTCATTATTTTAAGTAGAGGATAATTGAACTTATTAAGTTTAATAACTTTCCGTGCTAAAAAGTTGTCGTTACTTAGTTAAACTCAGTCAGGTCAACAAACTTATTTAAAATAAGTTATAATCACTCAATTTTATTAGTAAGATCATCAGTTACAGGTTTTGAATGTGTAATGTTTGTACACATTTACATAGATTTTGAATTTATTATGTGTTGTATGTACACACTTGTGTATTTTGAACATATGTCACAATTATATTTACATTAAATGTATTGACTCCCCGGCCCAATGTATAGTTTGTAATTAAAAAAATATATTTGTTGAAACATGTATTGTTTTATACAAATAAACAATCTGAATTTGAAAACAGTGCATTTTATTTATTAAACTGTGTCATAAATAAAAAATTATATTTAACTAAACTGTTGGGTTATTTTAAATAACCCACAGTTTGTAAGGTGCTATACCACCCCGTAGTTGTTGTTTTTTTAAATTAGTAATTCATTAACCTCTTAAGTGTCGCGCCCCCTTTTTTGAAAAAACATGAAAATGCACAATCCGAACTTAAATGGTTGTAATTCAAGAATTCTTTGGAATATAGATGTAAGATTGGTCTTGTTTTAAAGAAGACATTTGGCAGAAGTTGTAGATGTAAATAAATTAAGAAAGTGAAAAAGAAAAAAAGTTATAGACGTTTGAGTTTATGAAAATGTAAAATGTAAAAAAATTTTTTTTCATATTTTATATAAAATATATTTTTTCAAAACCTGGTGGACTCCAAAACTGCAAGAAAATCAAAGCCAAAACTCTGAACAAGTTGTGTTTCAAATTTTAGGTTGATATCTCAGAAAAAGAGCTTTCAGTAAGATTTTGTTTGGGCGCAGTACCAAACTTTTTCACTAGATGACAACCAGACTCCATTTCCATATGTGTTTTGAGTGATCTGAACCATTATTTCCACAATTCTCATACAATTTATGAAGTAGGCATCCTATTCAGAAGTAGTAAGGGTATTAAGTTTGGCTTATTTTGATATGAATTCAACCTCTAATAATCACAAAAAATGAACACACATGTGCGTTAGCTCGCTGATGTTTTCTTTTGAACTATTGGCATGAAAACATTCTACCATTCTTTCATGATTTTCATGTTCATCACTATTTCAAAATAAAGGTCTTAACACACCTTAGGAGAATGCAGTTAACTCAGCTAATGCAGCCTCAGTAGACCCATATTCTGTGTCCTAAGCAAAAACTGAAATTAATTTTGAGGCAACCTTCCTACTGCAAAATTCTCGCACATGTGCATTATTACTTTTAGGCTGCTTACAGGGATAGCTCACCAAATTATTTTAATTCCCCCCCCCCCTGTAGAACATAAAAGAAGATATTTTGAAGAATGTTGGCAACCAAACAATTTCGGTTCCCGTTGACTTCCATTGTATAGACAAACAATACAGTGTTGTAATATGATCGTACAACTTGATGTATTTGAATCAAATGCAATTGACAGCATGCTTATAAGCTTTGTGGATTCAAAACAGTTTTATTTTATTTTTTACAGTTTGTACATACTGTACATCACACCAGAAATATGCTTGTTAAAAACACATTCTTAAAGTTTGACATAATTAATAATAAAAAAAAACGAAACTTTTTTTGTTTTGTTTTGCCTGTATCAGTTTTTGAATACAATTAAGTTGTGGACCTTTTGTGAAAAAATGTGTCTTTTGCTGCAACATGAAGTAAAAACTCTTTTGCGCACTGCTCTAATATTTAATCCATAAATAAGAGGACTAAAAATAGGTTGAACTATAACCAGTTCTAAAGCCAAAAAATTACGCAGACTCTCTGGAATGTCATTTGAACCATATCTGTTATACATGAAATCAAAAAGGTAAGCAAAAGTGAAATTTATCAGCGATAATATGTGTGGCAGACATGTTTGCCAGAATTTCCTTCTGTTTTCTAAAGATGCTTTACATGCAGAGATCAGTTTTACATAGGACACTATGATGAAAACTATAAAGCTAAAAAATGTGACTGTAAGGGCATATCCAAATACATTATTTACAACAGATGATACACAAGACAGCTTTACAATTGACCAGTTGTCACAATATAATTTGTCAATGTGATATTTACAAACAGACCTCAAGTTTGCTAACAGGGCGGCTATAACACCAAAGAAGTTGGGTACAATCCAAGCAAACAGAATTAATTTGACACACATATTTTTGGTTAATTTGGAATGATAGTCTAAAGGTTTGCATATGGCTACATATCTATCATAAGACATAACTGTTAATATTGTTATCTCAGAAAGTAAAGAGCTGTAGATAACATAGGTTTGCAGAGCACACATATGGAAGGAGATCACATATGAATCCAATATTAAATCAGACATAATTTTAGGGTAGAATCCTGTGGCTCCATAAACCCCATTTATACACAGATGAGACAAGAATATGTACATTGGTTCATGAAGTGCTTTCTCTATGATAATGACCACAACAACAACAATATTTATAGACAATATAAAGAGATATAAGGCAAGAAAACAAATAAAATATACATGCCTATATGATTTAGTCTCTTTTGGCACCATAAGCGTCAGTATCAAAGGATAAGACGTGTTATCCATCATGGTATAGTCAAGGTATGTCATGGACAGTCCTTTAAATCACATGAAACAAACAAATATCATGCAAAACAACCTAATACAAGACAATATTAGTCAATGGTCATTAAATGAATTACCAAAGCAGACATTTAATTAAGCTTCAATAACCATTGTTGCCTAAGGAAATAAAGGAGTCAGAAAAAAAGGAAAATGAACACAGTTTCCACAAATGTGTTTGCAACTGAAAGTGATGAGGTCTCTAGCTTGGTTTTATATTTAGTGATTTCTCATTAGGGAAATCTCTGAGAGATATTCTAACATTTCTTGGGACTAATTATGCGTTCATGCACAACACTTTTCAAACGTCTTCAAACGATTTGTTAAAATAAATTTCAATTTTAGTAACAATATCGTAAACAGCCCCACATTTAATAGGTTTGGTACACCCCATATTTAAAGGATTTTGTTGTAATCTTACTAAATGAAACCATGCTTCTCACTTATAGCTCTCAAAATGTCATGTTAGGGGTGTGCGATATTGACCAAAAATTATATCTCAATATTTTCTGGGATCGATAACGATAATTAGACGATATTTTGCTGAGTGCTTTTATTGTGTTGGTACCTTTGCTGGTTTAGGATTGTCGTGGACAGCTGACTCCTAAAGTTTTGGATATTCTTTATATTCTATATGGTGGTCAGAAATCATCTTTTCAATTTAATAAGATTAAATTGATTTGTACCTTTTATGGGCATTTTTTCCTTTGAAAATTTATATGTTCAACCTAATGAAATGCATGCAAAAAATTTTGGGTCAAATTCTTACATTTAATCAAATTCTATTGGAATAATAAGACACAAATAGGGCAGTTAACAATAATAAAAAATCAGTATCAACAAAATTGATCTTTGCAATGCAGAGGAAACGTACTTGGTTACTAACGTAACCTCGGTTCTCTCTAGAGAGGGAACGAGTATTGCGTAAGTTTAGCTTACGCTACGGGAAAGATTCATCTTCTCGAGATATTGAAGCCAAAAAATTATCCTTAATTTTGTATTCATTGTCAATGCAGTGCAGCAGCTAGCAGACCTAGAGCAGGCAGTCTTTCGTGCTCATTGGCTGCCCTGCGGGCATCTGCTGCAGCCTACCAGTGAGCCCCGCGTGACGTCACGCCCAATGAAGGGCGCCCGCGCCAGAATGGGCGTGGCTTAGCGTATAAAAGAAGGGGCTGTAGGCTGATTTCCCTGGTTTTCGTCGACTGAAGCGAAGTCGCTCGTGGCGCAAGCACGGCCGGTTACGCAATACTCGTTCCCTCTCTAGAGAGAACCGAGGTTAAGTTAGTAACCGAGTACGTTCTCTTACGAGAGGTTCTCTCGTATTGCGTAAGTTTAGCTTACGCTACGGGAACTTTTTGTCAACGCCGTGCGCGCCAAGCAACCACCCATGAGTCGCCGAGGTTTCTCGGGGAACCCAATAAGTGGAAAAAATAAGGTGGCCAGCCACGCGGGCCATCACTCGTACATAAGCACACATAGGGAATACAGAGCAGAGCACTGGTCTGTATAAGCATATAGCACATCCCTACTAGTGCAGCTCAACTAGGAGAGCTGAGTCACGTGAGAGTGGTCTGAGCATGATATATCTGGGCAGAACGCACAACTCGCTTAGACTGACAGAAGTTTAGCCTGCAGGGCGGGAACTTCTAGGTTATAGAACCTGACAAAGGTAGACGGGGAGCTCCAGCCCGCCGCTAAACATATGTCGTGGATAGAAATCCCGCTGGACCACGCCCATGATGAGGCCATGCCTCTAGTGGAATGAGCCCTGATGCCCAGAGGGCATTGCAGACCTTTTGACGCGTAAGCGGCCGCTATAGCGTCCACTATCCATCTGGACAGAGTCTGTTTCGAGGCAGCGAGACCTTTGGTGCGCCCACCAAACGAAACAAACAGCTGCTCCATGCGCCTGAAAGAGGCGGAGCGCGTAGTGTAAAACCTCAGCGCCCTGACCGGGCAAAGGAGATTCACGTCTGTCTCACTGTCTGACGCTGGCAGAGCCGACAGTGAAATGACTTGCGCTCTGAAAGGAGTGCCCATCACTTTTGGAACATAGCCATGTCTAGGTTTGAGGATGACTTTAGAGTCATTCGGCCCGAACTCAAGACACGTCGCGCTGATTGACAGTGCGTGCAGGTCCCCCACACGTTTGACTGATGACAGCGCGGTCAGAAAAACGGTTTTTAGTGATAGGTATTTTAACTCCACGGAGTCTAGTGGCTCAAATGGGAAGGCTTTCAGGGCCTCGAGGACCAAGGAAAGATCCCACATGGGAACCGACGGGGGGCGCAGCGGATTCATCCTTCTAGCTCTCCTAAGGAAGCGGATGACCAGCTTCCCAGTGACTGGCCGTGCGTCGATTCTGCGAACGCCGCCACGGCCGCCACATAAACTTTGAGCGTGGATGGGGACCTCCCTTTATCCATCAGCTCTTGTAGGAAAGTGAGCAGATGCGCAACCTCGCACGTCCGCGGGTCCAGGTCTCTGTCGGTGCACCACTTGGAGAACACCGACCATTTAGACGCGTAGAGCCTTCTCGTGGAAGGAGCTCTAGACTGTGTGATTGTGCTCATCACTCTTTCTGGCAGGGCAACGAGTACCCGTTGATCAACCATGCGTGCAGAGACCAGCGCTCTGGATGGGGATGCCAGATCGAGCCGCGAGCCTGAGAGAGGAGATCTGCCCTCACCGGAATAGGCCACGGAGCTGCATGTGCTAGTTCCGGGAACCAATTCTGATTCTCCCAGTGCGGAGCTATGAGGAGCACCGAGTGGCGCGTTTCCCTGATTCTCTTGATCACCTGTGGTAACAGGGAGACCGGAGGGAAAGCATAAAGTGGGAGGCTGGGCCAGACCTGTGCCAGCGCGTTCTCGTTCTTCGAAAAGAACATCGGGCAATGAGCGTTGTCTTTTGACCCAAATAGGTCGACTTCCACTCTGCCGAATAGGCGCCACAGTTTATGGACTGTTTGGGGGTGCAGGGACCAATCCCCCTGGGGGAACGTTGTCCCTGGACAGTTTGTCTGGGCCGTCGTTCAAATGGCCAGGCACATGTGCCGCCCTCAGCGAGCGCAGGTGCAACTGGGACCAAATAAGGATGCGTTCCGTCAGATTGCAGAGGTTTCTGGATCTGACACAACGCCCTGACGGTTTACATAGGAAACCACAGACATGTTGTCCGAGCGGACGAGAACATGTTGGTTCTGTATGAACGGGAGGAAGCGCTTCAGCGCGTTCTCGACCGCTATCATTTCCAGACAGTTAATGTGAAAACACTTCTCTTGGTCTGACCACTGGCCAAAGGCCGGTCTGCCCTCGAACAGCGCGCCCCAACCCGAGTTGGACGCGTCTGTCAAAATGACTTTCCGATAAGAGATGGTTCCCATCATCACTCCCTGCTGGTACCAGTCGGCTACTAACCAGGGCTGCCGAGCCGCTATGCAGGTCTGAGTCACTCTGATTTTCTGGCCGCTAGAAACCCAGGCTCGGCGAGACGCGCGAGCATTCAACCAGCGTTGGAGCGTGCGCATGCGCAGTAGGCCCAGCTGGAGCACCGCTGCCGCTGAAGCCATACAGCCCAGCATCCTTTGAAACGTTTTCAAAGGGAGAAAGCTGCCCTTCTGGAAAGACGCGGCTAGGCGGCGAACACGGCGCGCGCGCTGTGTCGACAAACGAGCCGTCATGGCCACAGAATTCAGTTCTATTCCTAAAAAGGAAATTGACTGACTGGGCATTAATGAGCTCTTGGTCCAGTTGACCGTGAGACCCAAGCTTTCCAGGTGACTGAGAAGCACTGTTCTGTGAGATAACAGCTCCGTCTTTGACTGTGCCAATATCAGCCAATCAGGGGGCGATTGCTCAGGGGGGCGAGTGCCGGGTCCATGCACTTCGTAAATGTACGGAGTGCTAGAGACAGGCCGAACGGCAGGACGTTGTATTGATATACCTGACCGTCGAAGGCGAATCTCAAACTTTGCCTGTGACGGGGTAATATCTGAATCTGAAAATAGGCATCCTTCAGATCTAGAGAAATGAACCAGTCCCTCGGGCGAACGTGCGCGAGGATTTTTCTGGTCGTAAGCATTTTAAACGGTCTTTTTGCAAGCACTTTGTTCAAATGTCTCAGATCTAGGATGGGTCTGAAAGCTCCGTCCTTCTTGGGTACGAGAAAATATCGGCTGTAAAAGCCTGACTCGCTCAGAGAAGGCGGAACTTTTTCTATAGCCCCTTTGCACAGCAGTTTTGCTATTTCTGCGTGAAGTAGGTGTGCTACTTCCGCATTCACTATCGTCGTGGTCCGGGCTCGAATGCGCGGGGGACGGCGAATGAATTGAAGTGTATAGCCCTGCTTTATTGTACTCAGAACCCATTCTGAAATCCCTGGGATAGTTTCCCACGCAGCTATGTGAGCCGCTAGGGGGCGAATGGCCTCCGGGTTCAGATCGCCGCCATTTGCGGGCTTGTGAAACTGAGCCGGAGCCGAAAGCGCGGCGCGCGCGCTCTCGGTTCTGGGCAATGGCTGGTCGCTGAAAGCCGAGACCGTCTGATTTATGTGAGGTGTCCCAATCATAAGGGATGGGGAGCATTTTATTCTCACTTTTTGACGCCCGAGCAGCGCTTTGGGCAGAAAAGCTTTCTGTAAGCGTGAGCGCGTGTGCGCGGGCACGAGACTTACAAGTGTATTTGACGCCCCGATCATAACGGATGGGGAGCGTCTTATCAATGCCCTTCGTTTTGTGATAACATTTAAATGCGCGGGCGGCGCCCGGGGGGAGGTGTGTGTTAGTAAGCGTGAACACTCTCCGGCAGGCACGAGACTTACATTCATAACCTGTTTTATTGACCGTGTAACAGAGCGGGCAAATAGTGGGCACAGATCTGTGGACACATTTCTTATATTCAACACTCGAGTGGCTTTTCTGCGCTTTATGAGAGTGTGCTCTGTGAGTGACACGAGATTTGATG